ACTGTAGATTTGTGGAACCTCTTCTATAGAAGAGGTTAGAACTGGCAGGAACCCACCCCTGTATACATCTGAACTAGACTGTGTTGTTTCTCTGTGTCATATAAGGTATGTGGTTATATGCATAATTCTGTATTTTAATGTATGATGATTAGTGTACATTAAAGTGACAATAAAGTTATTCTAAGTCTAAGCCTTAAGTTTTAAAAAACGGAGCTAGCTATGGGGATCCACATGGGCGGTATAACAAACTACCCCCAACACCCAGGGACATTTCCTAAGGAAGAATGAGGAGGAAGGGTTCTTGGAAGCAGCAGCAGGGAAGAGGATTCTGTGCTGAGCAGGCTGTGGAAGTTATAACTCCAATTACATGCTTTAAACCAACATCAGGCTACTCAGTTTCAGGGATTTGTACTCTTCGAGATGGACCAATCCATTTTTTAAAAAAAGGCAAAAACATGGCTATTATGAAAGCCAGCCTTCTGGTCTTTCTGCCAGCCAATAAGATTGAAACCACAGCTTTACTGATAAATAGTATCATTTCACGTGCACCAAGACGGCCAGTGTTGTGTACACTGGGATTGCAAGGAAAATAGCATTTCCAGAGTAGTGGGATTCCTTGACATCCTTGGGCTATCTGCATGCAGGTGGATGATGAGATACAGACAGTGGCTTTTGGACATGATAAGTGGGCAAGAAAGTTGTGTGGATTTACCCTATCTCAATGTACAGCTTTCATGCTGTCCTGATCTTCTGTTGTTATTATTGTATTGAAATATCCTTGCACTTTTTGTCTTATAGCCTGATTTCCTAGCATAAATTTTGTCTTTAATTTTACAGTACCCCGTCTATCTTAATGGATTCTTGAACCTAAGAAGCAAAATTAGTCTATTGCCGTGATTGCCTCATTTAAACTGTAAGTTCACTAAGCCTCCAGCCTTGATTTTCTTAATATTTACTTTAACCCATGTTTACTTTCATAAAACACTCCCAAATCTCATTTACTTTCAGGCTAACCAAGTGGCATTGGCAGAATATCTCACGTTGTTTCTGGTTTACCCTCCAGTGTTGATTCCTGTTGCCATCTTTATCAATCCTGTCCTTCTTTCAAGATACGTATTTCATACGTTAAAGAGATATTACCAGCCCAACCACCAGGTGTCATCGGCAGATCAGATTTAATGGATGGCCCTAAAACGACCCCCATATTGTCTCTTTTTTATTTCGACCACAAAGGTGATAAAATGGCCTTTAAAGAAGTCCACAACAGATCTCAAGGACCAGCCTTCTTCTGCCAGTACAGTACTGTTTCCCAGATCCACCAAATGCCATTGATTAGACACTTCATGGTATGAGGTAGAGGTGGGTTGCTGCCCGTTTTAGCCTGGATCGGCCGAACCGGTAGTAACGGCGGGGGGAGGCTCCGCCCACCCACCCGGATGCTTCCGCACATGCGGGAGCGCACCCAAACCAGTAGTAAAAAGATTAGCAACTCATCTCTGGTATGAGGGGTCCTTGGTGTTCTCTGAGCTTGCTCGTATCCTTGCAGAAATTTCATTACCCAAACTAGGTAACATCATCAGTGCTAATAAAGAGTGCAGTTTCCTTACTAACACTGATGAGGTCACCCCTCGTGTCACTCCTGAGCTACAAATATTCTCCTTTATTGGTACTTTGTGGTATCTTGGGAGTTCTTTAAGCCCTAGGCCTAATTTGGAGACCACAAACCGTACCACATTGCACTGTCCATCATGACTAGTGGCCAGGAAACCATCAACCTCCACCGTCATGCTCCACTCGAGCTACAGATATTCGCCATCATTGCAAACCATCATGTTGCCATTGCCATTTCCTGTGTCACCCCTTCTGTTGCCAAAGCCACAAATGCCAACATATATCCGTCAAGCTATGTCTTCTTCAGGGAAGAAATATAAATCAAGTTGCCTTTAGATTAGACTTGTTCCATGTTTGTTGACAGACAGCTTTTAGCACTTTGTCTCTTCTTGTAGATTTAAGCAGTTCAGTGAGCATTTTATCTAAACCTGGTGCTTTTCTCTTTGACAGTTGTTCTGATGCCTCTCACACTGCCCTTTCTAGAAGAGAATATATTCTATTTCTACATTTTTAAAAATACTATTTTGTTTGCAAAGGGCTTTAGTGTATACTTTCCATCCTCTTTTGCTAAATTTGATTGACTTTCTGTTTGCTTTATTAACCTTTCTGTTTGCTTAATATAAATGTTCCTGTAATCCTTTTCTTCCTCATTCCAATCACCTGTTAATAAAACTACGTCTTTGTAGGTGTTGCATTTAAATGTTACATTTAACATCTTTTTCAGTTTGCTAGAGGATTTCTCAACTTCTTCCATATTGTAAACAGACACTTAGAGTTAACATTAATGTTCATTAATTCTAATAAATGTCCTATTGTTTATCAGGTTGTAGCTGAACATATATTGTGGAATCTTTTGATTTAAAGTGGCCATTTCTGGTGCATCTCTTTGTTTTACTGTATTCGAAACATCCAGTTTAGTGCACCAGTCTTTCCCTTAAGAATTTCAACGGTTTCTTGATTCATGCTTATCAAATTCCATGCCCCAGTTACATTTTGTACCTGAGAAATGAGAACTTCCTCTTTAAATATTGGAACCATCAGGGACTCAGCTGCCTTGTGGCTTTGATGTGGTCGCTTCGCCTTGAGAACTACACATGGAAATTCACTGTTCTTCTCCAGTAACTAGAACAGTGTTTCTCAACCGTGGCAACTTGAAGATGTCTGGACTTCAACTCCCAGAATTCCCCAGCCAGCGAATGCTGGCTGGGGAATTCTGGGAGTTGAGGTCCAGACATCTTCA